AAGGAAGGAGGGAAGGAGGGAAGGAGGGAAGGAGGGAAGGAGGGAAGGACTTATCTTGATTTTTGGTTGATTTTGCAGAGTGCCAAGTTCATACAACTTCATGGAACTCATGCTTTCAGGGAGTTTCTTGAAAGAAAAGGTTACCGGATACCAGAGGTAAACTTTAAATGCCTACATCTCACCTAGCAGTAAACAATCTGATGGCCTCCAAATGTTTCAGGACTTTTTTAAACATTGGTTGCAACCAACACACTCAGTGGCCAAAATATCTGGAGGGCATCAGGTTGCTTTTCTCTGATTTCTTATTGTTCAGATGTGATTCCAAAACCAAAAGGGCTCACTTTGCATCTACTGACATTCTGTTTCTCTTTCCTGTCTAGTTTTAGATGAGGGCAGCTTTTTAGCATCTTGAGCTTCCAGATGCATCGCTCTACAACCCTCAGCATCCCTAGCCAGCTGGCTCAGTGTTAAAAATTATAGTCCAGTGAACCAAGAGAGAATCAGGGTGGGGAGAGATGGATTGGGAGGTCTATAGGTATTTGGCTGAAGACTTTGAAACAGCATATGAAAGAGGAATCTCACCCCATCCCACCTCACTTTTAGTGACCCAAGTGTTTTGCCTCCTTTGCCTGGCACCAGCTGTCCATGAACTTAGGGAAGGAGATCTTTTGAGTTTGTTTACTGAGAAGTCTTTCAGCTGGAGGCTGCAAGGGAAGAACATGAGCTCTTATGCCTGTTAAGTCATGCATTATTGGCTGTGTTGAGAATTGTATTGCAACTTTTGAACAATGCTCCAAAGGCCCTTGCTTTGACTCCTGCCTGCTATAATTCATAGGACTGTAAATAGCAGGATCTGTTTCCAATAAGTTGCTTTCCCAAAATCCTAAGAAACTCAATGTTCACTTTTAAAGAACAAGTCTAATTTTTTACATTTAAAATTGTGTTCCTTCTCCAAGGAAATTCAAGGACAGAAAGCCAAACTATTTTGCCTTAGGATAACAGCAAGCCCTTTGTTAAAATCTTGGTAGGTGTGCTAGGAAGAGGTCTCCTGGAGATGTAAATATTTTCACCTGAAGACTTCCTGCCTGAAAAGCAGCTGTTCCACCCCTTATCAAGCAGGTGATGACCCAAATCATGGTAGTCAGAAAAAATGTGCTGTTAATAATCCAGTAACCTGTTGCTGGAGACCAGATCCTGCAGTTGCATGGAAGCCTTTACATCCCTCACATTTCTTTCTTTTATAAGATCACTTTCTAGAGTCTTTGGGTCAGCAAAAGTTGGGATCATAGAGCCTATAGAACAGTTCCTTTGAACATCCAGTGAAATGGTATGTTTTGATTCAGTTTTTGCAGCAGATGCTGGAGGAACAGAATGGTGTTGGACCAAAAGTGGGAGCTTTGAAGAACACCAAGAATGAATTCCAGAGATGCAAAGAGCTCAAAGAAGATTATTCATCAGTGATGGGAAATTAATACAAAGACCCAAGCATCCCGTGATCAAGAGAACAGAAGCCTGCTACAGCTCTATTTTGGATGTTATTTAAGTAGGAATTCTCTGCTGAATTGACAAGTTCCTTCAGGACATTTGCAGAACTCCAGCTATTTGATCTGATACATAGAGCCCCTCCCCAACTGATCTTCTATGTAAGCAGGATGATACGTTTATCCCACAGTCCTCTTAGACAGTGCAGTTTTCAGCAATTCTGAGAATGGATTTAAATGAAAAATGAATTAAGGCTGTAGTCTTCTAGTCACTTATTTGGGAATAAGTCCAACTGAAGTAAAGAAGGTTCTCTTCTGAATAGACATGTGAAGAATTGTTCTGCATAGTGGGGGTGATGGGTTCTTTTTGGGAGATGGTACAGACCACACACAAGTAATGGAGTTCGTTTTTCTCCCATTGTTGCAGAAGATTTATAATGCAAAAATGGATAACCACTTATTTTCTCAATATTATCGCTCTTTCTATAACTATTTAATTGTCCCTACTCTTATGCTTCCTATACATTTCTATATTATGTATCTAAGGATTTCTTTTCTATAGTTTCTGTGAGTTTTTACTAACTTCTTTTCCTTCTTCCTTTTCACAGGAAGGGTTGAATGGCCCCTACCTGAGTAACTGATCAAGCCTAGCTAGCATTATCTTTGGGCACTCTCCCAACCATGGAATTTGTGGAACTCCTCAGCCTGAATTTTAGCTATCTTTTTGCTACCCAGGTGTGTCTAGTTACTGGCTGGCTTTATTTTGGGCTTTTCAGTCAGGTATTGCTTGCCTCTGTCCCAAGTTGCTGCAAGGTCTTCAGGGGCTCCAAGACTTTTGCTGGAAGGGAGAAAGTTTGGTACCAGCATTAGCTGGGTATGGGTTGTAGGCTATTGGTGCTTCTGGAGATGTTAGTGTGGCTGTTGGGTTCTTCTTGTGGGTCTGAATCAGAGCCCACTTCTTCTGTGTTTTGGTTGTCCAGACTTTTCCAAGCCATTTCTGGCCTGGCATTTCTTACTTTTCTCCTCTCTTACCTTCAACCTTCTCTTCTCTCTCCCCAACACACACACAAAATCTCTCCTCTCAGCAAGATCACAAACAGCCCCTGCAAAAGGGCTCCTTCTTTTATAGATGGAGCACAGGTGTGGTCCAGCTAATTCAGCTCCCTCAAAGTCCTGGAGAGAGTGAGAAGAAAAAGGGAAGAAAGGGCCTGAACTGATCAGATGTGGTGTGAAAGCATGTTTGTAAATAGGAACATGTGACACGGGTCAGCTCTCCCCACTGTGGCATCCTTTAGATGTCTTTGGATTGCAGTTTCCAGAATTCTTAGTCTTTGGCTCCAAGCACAACAATTATGATTCAGGTTGTGTTTCAGTTATAAACTGAATTATGAGTACTGAGAAGGATATTCAAATAGATGAAAGCAAAAGTGGAGCATAAACCTAATAGTCCTACACATCAAACATTCATTCATTCATTCATTCATTCATTCATTCATTCATTCATTCATTCATTCATTCATTCATTCATTGTCGCTACAACTTTGGAAAGCCAGCACAAAGTAAATCAGGGTGGAAAAGAGTGCTTGTGCATAGCAAGATTGAGTTTTTTCTGCTTTTCTCTAGGGAGGCTTTTACAAGCTTCTGATTTGCCACTTTCTAGAATCTTTTGGGAGATCAAGATCAAATTATGTCCATTCAGGCCTTCTTTCTTCTCCTTGGTTCCCCTGAGCTGAACTTGAGCTGACTGCTATCCTTGGTGGTTCTGGGAATCAGTGCAGTTCAGGAAATGTGTCTACATCTAGGAATCCAGGGTTTGCTTCAGCAGATCTTGCATAGCATAGCTGCTGTTTTCCTTCTTGCTCCTTAGCTTCCTTACCCACAGAATTTCCTCTGTAATTCTTCTACCCAAACTCTTCAGCTTCTCAAGTTTTTCCAGCACACAGCTTTCCTCTTTAAAGTATTCATGCAAGCATTCCCACACCTGTTACACTAGGTAAAAAGCCAGATGCCATTTTTGGCTTTTACTAATATATAAGGAAGAGATTCACAAGTTGTGCCAAGCCATGTTTGAATTAGTTATAGTTTATTGAATGAGCCACACTTAGCTCAATTTGCACAACATGCTAACAATATTGTGTGAAAGTGAAATATGGTTTGTTTGGTTTTAACAAACCATATTTCACTTTTGGACAATAGGTGACTGAAGCTTCGTTACTTGACTATCCATCCAGTAATAGAAGGAACAAATATCAGTGGTTCAAATGCCATGCAGAAATCACTAGAGCTATGCAGTGCTTTGGGCTCAGTCTCCAAAAGTTTCTTTAGAACTTGCAAATTGTGCACCATTTCTAAAATTAACTACAGTGTTAATTAAATCTAAAATATTGATAAATTGGAAGGCAATATCAAAGGCTTCCCTTTCTTGGGGCATGTAGCTACATGAAAGTTTCTGAGCAATACCTGGTGAGGATTCCCAGCTGCCTACAGAATCCTTTATCTCTTTTTGCAACTGGTAGAAAATTGGAATAAATGATGCAGTTGGAACCCACAGAGCTGTTTGGTACACCTAGAAGATCACAAGAGTCACCCAATGGAGATTTGAAGGTTTTCTTCCACCAGTTTCTCCTTGCTGTTACTAGCCACACCCACACAGCTGCTTAGTTGTACTCCCCTCCCACAGCTGGCAGGAACTCCTGCAGTCCTAAATCTTGCCGCCCCCGCACTATGTCCTTATTGTGCACCTGAAATGGGTTTGTGCTGTGCTGCTGTCCATGCTGTTTAACACACAACATTCTAAGAGGTGTGACTGGTGGTTCCCTCCAATAAAATTCTGCCCCTGCCCAACATCACCCACTATGTGATGCAGAGACTGGGGTTCCTGATAACCAAAAGAAATGTTCTAGGATGGGAGAACAAATGAAGAACCAGATAGAAAAGGGAGGTCCTCCAGGAAACCAACAGAGCCAGTTGGAGCCACAGGTTTGTCAATGTGGAATGTATAATTTCAGACAGCTCCCTCCATACACACCAATACATGTTACATTGTCCACATGTAGCATCTTGAGCTGGGATAAGAGGGAAAACATTTGAGGGCCTCAGGTCACAACTTACCAGGACCAACTCCAAAATAATTTGATGTAGCGCTGGTCTTTGAAGTGGAATTAGACCACTTTCATAGCAGTTAGAAATCTAACCCACTCTAACTCATAGGGTTGAGTTCCAATGAAATGACTATCATTCTAATGAAATATAATTTTATTGATGACATGCACTAATGAAAAGGGTAGTAGATAATGCAGATAATAAGAGGAAAGCAGTAGTTGTTTACATTGGAAAAAGCATGTGGAAGAAATCAAGGGACAGCATTCTGCTGATGCAGATGAAGAGATGGGTAACTTTTAAACATTCTTTTAAGCATTAAGAGCAATATGAGGATGTCTACACCAAAGACTTAAAATGGCTATTCTCTTCACCCAGGAGATCCATGGTTCCAAGAGAGATATCTAAGATGTCTCAGAAAATTCTCAGCATCCAGACCAAACTACAATTCCCAAGATTCTTTGGGAGAATAGAATGTTCATTTAACCTCCTCCTTCCCCTTCTTACTTGTATGGCTTTTTTGTCCATGGATCCATATAAATACTCAATATGGGAGAAAGGAAGGGGGTCCTTCTGTATGTGAAGCTTGGGATATGTATCCCCCCCAAATGAGCTGTGGAAGCAATCACTGATATAAGGTCAGCATACATTTCTGTGGTGTAGACATGCTCACACACCCAACAAACATTACAGTTGTGATCTAATCAGGATAGCAGGATTCCGGTGTTAAGGCTGTCTCAATGGGCTTTATTTTCCCATTGTTGGAGAACAAGCTGGAGGCAACGTAACATTTATTCCGGTCGTAGGTGTAACAGGGTTCTTCAGGATCATTACATAAAGTGTTCAGGCCAAACCTCCCTTCTTTTCCACTTCCTGGGGTGTCACATTTGCCACAGCTAGAACAGAAGACAGGAAGAGAAACTTTAAGCCAAGGGATCCATCCACAACCCTCCAAGGCACTGAGAAATATTCCAGAAGAGAGGATCAATCTACCTTTCTGTTATTGCTGAAACTGCCAAATGATTTTATGGAATTCCACTCACTTAGCAGCAGCTCCTGCATTTGCCTTTATTAATAGTAGATGAAAACTTAAATTGCTCTGTGACTAAATTAGCTTCTGATTCGTCAGAAAAGAAATTTATTTATTTATTTGCTTGTTTGTTTATTTATATTTTGAATTTAGACACCACCCATCTCACAAGGAATTATTTTTCCCCTGCTGGAGGCCCAGGCCCATGTTGGCAAGGTGAAGAAGTAATCAGAAAAGAGATGAGGGGGGAAAGAATAAACTCTCTTTCTCCTGCCCTATCCTGCTCAGCTCCCCATTAGCCAACGCTGTCAAGTCTTCACATCAGGCATGGCTATAAATATTATCTCTACTGAAACCCAACCTTGCAATCGGTAATGGCAGATGCTTCAACATGGCTAGATAAGTTGCTTTATTGCAGACAAGAAAGAAGTCATGTATATGCCTGCTGCAGAATATCGGAATTAAAATATATAAATTCACACACACACACACACACACACACAAACACAAAGGCAGCCCCAAGGTTTGGATCCTTTTCCTTATATCCTTTTGAGTCAACACACTACTTCTAGCCATTCATTTTTTCACCCGTGAGAGTTACAGATATTTGCCCCACATTTACATAACGGTTCTCTCTGGCCTGAGCGTTGTTGGTTCCAACTTTCCTGCTTCAGCTCTCAAACATGCTGAAGCTACTTTGCTCTATGAAAAGCAGCTATTGGGGCTGTGTTTGTTCATCACATGCTGCGATGAAATTGTTGCTCTGACAGGACGCCCGTAAAAGATGAGCTGGTACTTCTGAATAAGGAAGGAAGGCTGAACACACAGAGATAGTTGAATGGAAGAAATGGGGGAAAAGGGAAGGAATTGATGAGTTTATGTATGCCAAAAGAAGACAGACACTGGGAGCTCTTGTGTGACAATCATGACTAATAAAAGAGAATATATGTAGCTCAGGGTTGAACTGTGGAGTCCTTGGTGCTCTCTGAGCTTGGTGGTTTGTTTGCAGACGTTGGATAATGAAATGTCTGCAAGCAAACCACCAAGCTCAGAGAGCACCAAGGACTCCACAATCATGACTAAGTAGAGAGGGGGATTTTTGATAACTCTACTCCTCTAAAGCCATAAAACCAGAAATAAAATAAATACTTGGCAGCCTCACATTAATGCTACTGCTATTTGAGTCAGTCTCTAACGTCAGTACAGGTATCTTCTCAATGTATCACGTAGCAATTACAAGTTCCTGACAACCTCATTATTCTCAGAGAGCACCAAGGACTCCACAATCATGACTAAGTAGAGAGGGGGATTTTTGTTAACTCTACTCCTCCTTAAAGAAAAACAATTTATATCCAATGCTATAGGTTCGTGCAACGTTATTGTTAAAGTTCATAATTACCTGGCTTCTGAGCAAAAGAGAGACGCTATATGATATCTTTTCCCCGCACATCCAAAATTCTACACTACAGGACAAGAATGGCTACAAAAGGAGATTGCTTCAATATAAGAACTTTAAGTGATGGTGAGATACGTGAGCAGCTATAGAAAATAAATAAATAAATAAATAAATAGTCCATTTATTCAGTTCCAGAATAGACGTAAATTGTGCACTTCTGACCAATGAACCCGATTTTGCCATTCATGCTATATTCACTGCTTCTCACTCAATATTCTCTAAGAATAATGAGGTTGTCAAGAACTTGTAATTGCTACATGATACATTGAGAAGATACCTGTACTGACGTTAGAGACTGACTCAGATAGCAGTAGTGTTAACGTGAGGCTGCCAAGTATTTATTTTATTTCTGGTTTTATGGCTTTATTAAAATTTTAAATTCACCATAAATGTTTTAATGTTTACATATTTGTTTTATCTACTCCTAATGGCAACCACCGATAGTCTTTTTGATTGTGGCAGGTATAAATGTGATAAATAAATATTTTTTTTTCACTATATTGTCATTTCTAAAACATCTTACAAGGACACAACATTTGCCTTGGGCAAAATGACAAGAGACCTGCTTTGGCAGAAGACACACAGCGGTGGTACCATTTCAGTTCTATGCCCATCAGCAAACACAAACGTGCCTTGAAATTGCCCATAAATGTTTTGGTGCCAGTTGAAGTACAAACAAGAGAAAGTCTTACAGTTGGGAGAGCTTGTATACAAATTTGGTTCTTGCTGGCAAAGTGGGGTCAGAAATGTTCTCTCTGGCTTTGAGTGGAACACTGGAAAAAGGAAATAAAATAAGATTGATCACATATTGGTTTGTCCTCATGAAGTACAACAGGAATGTATCTTTGCCCTATTACAAATGCCTTCCAGTTGTCTAAGACTGCATCTCCCATCATCCCCTGCCATCTGTTATATTGGCTAAGAATTGTGGGTATTGCAGCTCAACATGTTTAGAGGGTGCCAGGTTTTCTCTCCTCCCAGTAGTTTTCCATAGCAACAGCGCAAAAGTATAGTTGTACTCTATGTTGTACACAGATGGTTCTCTGAACCAGTATGGTAACTCCTATGAAAACATTTGGATGGTAATGTATGCAAAATTTTTGGTCAAAATGTTCTGAGGCTAGAATAGTCCAGTCTCACATGACACAGAGGCCCAAGGTCATCCAGTTAGGTTCTATGGCTCAGTGGGGACTAGAACCTGGGTCTCCTCAGTCTTAGTCCAGCCATTTCACCACTAGACCACACTTGCTCTTGGGATGAGAGAGAGGGACTGGTCCAAAGTCCCCTAAGGAGTTTCTGTGGCTAAGGGGTGACTAGAACTGGAGTTTCCCCAGTCCTAGTCCAGCACCTTCACCACTGAACCACTCTAGCTCTTGGGATGAAAGGGAGGGACTGCCCAAGGTCACCCAGGAAGCTGCTGTAGCTGAAGGGGAACTAGAACCTGGGTATCTCCCATCTTTGTCCAACCTCTTTATCACTACATCACTTTGGCTGTCTTGTATTTTAGGGTCTAGACTACAGCAATCTCCTCACTATGGTACGCTCCAGATATCCTGGGATGGCAACACCTGTAATTTGGCTGTGGAATTCTGGGAGCTGCAGTCCCAGTGCATCTGGAGGGTGCCAGATGGGGAGACTGCGCTACAGTTTTGGGCGTCTTGCCAACATTGTTTGACACTGAGTCCAGAAAGAGCTTCAAGAGCTACAAAAAGATTGGGGGGTGGGTGAGTTCAGGTTGCCCACTCTTGCTCCAGAAGTTGTGCATCTCTGTCATTGCCCCATCCCTTTCTGTGATTACACTTTTGTTAGATATTGACAGAAAAGCAAAATGCAGAGGGAAGATAAGGCACCACTTACAATATGCGAATGTTCCTCTGCAGCACCTCTTCTTGAGGATTCTCTTTATCAGGGACAAATTTTGATGTCACCTTTACACACTGGCACTTGTTGTCCACCAGAACCTTCTCTTCATCATTCTGCTGCCAGTAAGCTTAAACAAATCAAATGCTTTAATGAGGCAACAAAAAGTAAGAACATTCTCTCATGCCATTTTGTCCAGGGTTTGATTTCATCACGTGCATCCAGCAGTCCCGACAAAACAAGTCCAGCTGAATGAGAAGTTGGAGGGTTAGTAATATTGAGAGCTGCAACCGAAAAACACTGGAAGCTAAATTTAGGATGGCTGCAAAAGAATCTGAAACCCCAGCCTTTCAAGATATATTTTTAGGCACAGGTTGTGATCCTGCAAGTTAATCTTTGAGTTGCACATGAATACTTGAAATCAGCTGAGTCATCTCTTTTGCTCAGCTTTCTGCAACTTGGTGCCCTTTAGAAGACTTGGACTTGCCATTTGGCAGGGAGATGATGTAGAAGCTGGTCTATGACATCTGGAGCATACTAGGTGGGGGAAGCTGATCTGAATCGATTCCAAATGGCAGCCTTTGGCATCTGAAGCTGAGATCTTCTCCAGCTCAAGTATCTGAGGTGGAGGGTTTGATCCAGGGACTTTCTGTATGCAATGGCTGTGTCTTCACAACACCCATGGTAAACTCAACTATGGTTTTATTCAATTCACGCATTCAATGTTGCCTGCGTTTGCACAGACTATTGAACTACCAACTAACACACTGGCTGGGTTTGTACAACGTAGTGAGTTCCAAATTAGCCAGTCGCATTTTGGCTCAATACATTGTACAAACCAAAGCCAACCTGGAGTTCCAGCTTTGGTTGCAAATCAGCTTCCCGCATTCTAACTGACCAAAAAGGCAGAGTTCATAGACCCAGTCAGACATTTGTTATCCAGCACGTTGCATCCAATTTATCGGCAGCATTCTTCTGCTGAGGTTTCTGAATGCAGAATGCCTGCAGTCTCTTTTCTTCTAAACACTTGTGGGCTACCTGTGGTTCTAAAGCTGCATTTGACTTTTGGGATAATTTCATCTTGGTGTCGCCCTAATGGCAAACTCACTTTACTGGTGGCTCCTTCCCTGGAAGCTGCTGTTTGAAAGACAGAGAGGGAGAGAAGAGGAGGACAGAAAGAAAGAAAAGTAGAATTTAGAAAAGGGATGGCTGCCCCACACTCACATTTCCTGCCTGATTCAGCCCTATTTAATGTGTGCCCCCCCAATACATTACTTGAGGAATGAGGCCCAATAGAAAAAAGAGAGCCCATCTCTGTCCCTAGTCCAGACAGCTCGCACAAAGGCTGTCCTTAGTTTTTCTAATTGACAAAGGCTGTTGTGTGTATGAGTGCGGGTGTTTTAATCTTCAATCTTTTAACTTTTTCAAGGTCATTCATATCACTTGGTCTTTCTCACTGGAGATGCCATGATGGGAAAAGCTTTAACCTGTTGAACTGACCGTCACTTAGTTTTTCAATTTTAACGGCCCAAGATTCCATCAAGTAAATAGGGGCAGCTCTGTTACAACCCCACATTTTTCTCTTTCCTCCTTTCACACAAGGTCGTGGTCTCATCAAATGTCCACCCATCTGGGTTGCCTTCCTGATTCCAGCTTCTGAATTTAGTCGCCCTTCTGAGCTACCTTTTGGGGGATCTTAGAAATATAATGAAGGGTGTTTCTGCCAGAAAAGGACTCTGACCATCAAGTCTGAAAAAGGCATCGCCACAGGCAAGATGGTAAACAGAGATGTCAAAATTCACATGGTAGACGTGATATGCTCCATTCATCTGTCTGACCAGGAAGGAAGCAGAATTGCACCGTTTAGGTTGCTCCATAAAAGCAAATCAAACAGTTTTGTTATGACCAAGCACCTTAGAATTATTATTTTCTAAAACATAGCTATGAAGGTGCAGGAAGTGAGACTTTTTAAAGGTAAGAAATACTGGAATGCTTTTTTTTTTTTTTGAATTAGAAGTGTTTAAAGTAGATGTCTCTGGATATTTTTATGTCTCTCCCCCCCCCCCCCCCCCCCCC